GCTTTATTTTATTATCAGACTGCAAATTACTAGAAATTTGATAGTCTGATGCATGAAATGCAAGAAAAAGGCATTGGAAATGATAAATTTACAATGGGTGTATGCCTGAGTGCCTTTGGAGCTACATCTGATGTTGAGGGAATTGATAAGACGTCGGCAATGATGGAATTAGATCCTAGTTTTGTTCGGGACTGGACAGTTTACAATAGTGCAGCAAGTGGGTATGCAAAAGCGACTCTTGGACAAAGCTGTGGAGATGCTGAAGATATCTGAGGTACTGATAGGAACCTGGATTCTTAACACTCAACACAACCCAAACAAAGTACAATATACCCAAACATAACAATATTCCAACACAGATCAGAGACAATTGAGAAAGCACTAATATGAATATACCTTTATATTGATTGATACAGAAATGGATAACAACAATAATGAACAACAATTAAGAAAACAGTACTGAATATAAAGATAACCCAACAATTCGAGGAGCAAGGGGCCTCCCTTCCAATATCCCACCAAAATATTCTCTACCCTTTACAATTCCTATCCCTCAATTTATACTCACAAACGTCACACCAATTCCATTATAATTGCCATGTGGATAACCAACTCCCACTTGTACACCATGCCATTTGCCCTTATTATTCCTTTTGTAAATTTGAGTTGGATGAGTTGGGGTCTTATCAATACCCTTCCCTTGAAGAACCACCTTGTCCTCAAGGTGGGGAGATGGGAATTTTGCTGTAATTCAGGTATCCTTAAAGTCAGCTGTTGTGATAATAGCTATCAATAACCCTTCAATAACAATGGTGATCTCAAGTTGGATATATCTTTGGATATTATCGGAAGCACATCTTCCACAGCTAAAAATGGTAACCAAGGAACTGAAATCACTATCCAAAATGATAATTTTCGATCTCTCTCTGGTCACTTCACTCTAAGTGCCCATAGCAATCCCCTCATTAGCTTCCTTTAGTGTTGGAGTCTCATTTGTTTTGGCTCTAACCATCGCCACCATGTGGCCTTCCTGCTTCAAACACTGAATAAGAAGGTGCTGGTCAGTAGGGGGGAAGTGTCCAATCACAAAAATTTGCTTAAAAGTCTCCTTTTCTGCTACCAAATTCAATGTAGCCGAGGAAAGGAGCCAATCCTCATTTGAGCTACCAGGACCCTGTGGCATTATAAATGGTTCGCTGATTCCTTTGCATAAAGTGTCAATAACATGCTCATCTAGTGTCGAGTTCTCATTGATAAGTGCTTCGCTAATTCAAACTTCCTTACCACTTGGTCTGATGATAAACTTCTTGACAGACTCCATTAATTCCTTGCTCGAAGTTTTGTCTTTAATGTCTGGCATCCCAGGATGATGCTTTCCCTTGTCAAGTTGAGCTGGTAATGGGGTTTGGCTGGAAGCGATAGTAATTTTGTTCATTGTCTTCCCCCATGTTGTGTTCTTACCTACAAACGTTGTGATCATGCGACCATCCCCTTTAATCACCTTTGCACCGTAGAAAAGGAAAGGGTTTTGTTCATCAATGGTTGCTAAACCATCACCCAACTTCAAGGATTCACCCGATACGAACAAGTCATCAAAACGTACATGGTATCCTCGTCTTAAGCACATTATGACACCGATATTTCCCCTTCTAAGTACATCAATTTCTGTCATTCGCCAAAAAGGAGTTGTTCTCCGTGGATAGAAGTTGTGATCGTTCGATGGATTTGGTGTGGTACTCGGGCTTTGATAACTAGAGGTTATCGCTACACCAGATGATACCTCTTCCCAAGTTCGGCATGCCGGCAAAGAGTTGTCGGAATATCTTGACTGATCGATGAAGGGAAATGGCCTAGAGTTATTTGCAATCTGATTTGAATTTGATTGGACCCTTGACCCAGTTTCTCTACCCGGCCCAAACCCAGTTGCATTAAAACCTTTGCCCAGTCTATTATCATATTGCTCAAGCCCACACTCAATTGTATTTGCTATTCCCTGTTTACCTAGCCCAACTGAAATAATTCCTCTATTAAACCCATACAACACAACTGGTTTAACAGCTTTATTAAGCCCAAACTTCATTTCTTCTAAAGCCCAATCCTTTGCCTTTATTTTCTGGGCTAACTCAATAAGCTGTAGCAATGAATTGGGTTGGCTCAATCTCACTTTAGCCTTAATATCTTGTTTGAGCCCATTGATAATAGCAACCCACAATATTTCTTCTCTTTCTTCACATAAAGGTGCAGACAAAGCTTCAAATCTCCAACGATATTCCTCCACTGTGTCAGTCTGCCGGATTTCCATCAAATCTTCATAAGGCCTTCCCTCTTGTGACCCACCAAATCTATGAGGAAGAGAAAGCTTAAAAGTCGGTCACGTCGTTACCGGAGCTCTAATTTCCATCCACTGGAACCCATTTATTGCATCTCCCTCCATACACACCACCACCGTGTTCATCCTTTCGTTCTCAGCCACTTGATACACCTTAAAATACCTTTCTATCTTGAATAACCAAACGTACAGATCCTTCCCCATGAATATTGGTATTTCGATTCTCTGGCCACCTGACTCTGGTCAATTTCATTAAGTAACTATGGGTTTGCCGTTCTGGTTTGCATTGGGTTCACTATTCTCTTCCCCTTGGTTTCGATTCTGTTTCATTGGTATTTCTGTTGACCCATCCCTCTTAGCTTCTTTGGTTTTCTCCTCATCTTTTCGCCTCATCCATGCTAGCATTTCCTTTAAGCACTCTCTGATCATTCCCAAATCTTCCTTCATCGATCTCATATGTTTTTCCACATTTCCCATTCTAGTCTTCATTTTCGCTTTTACCGTTCCCTAACCTTGGCTCTGATACCAATTGATAGGAACCTGGATTCTTAACACTCAACACAACCCAAATAGAGTACAATATACCTAAACAAAACAATATTCCAACACAGATTAGAGACAATTGAGAAAGCACTAATATGAATATACCTCTATATTGATTGATACAGAAATGGATAACAACAATAATGAAGAACAATTAAGAAAATAGTACTGAATGTAAAGATAACATAGCAATTTGAGGAGCTAGGGGCCTCCCTTCCAATATCCCACCAAAATATTCTCTACCCTTTACAATTCCTATCCCTCAATTTATACTCACAAACGTCACACCAATTCCTTTGTAATTGCCACGTGGATAACCAACTCCCACTTGCACACCATGCCATTTGCCCTTATTATTCCTTTTGTGAATTTGAGTTGGATGATTTGGGGTCTTATCAGGTAATAATTACGGGTAAAAAGAGCAGTAGAGCATATGAGTTTCTTATTACACAATATGCAAAATTTGGGAAATAAGATAATGTTTTAAGACTTTGGGAACTTTACAAGAACCATAATATTTACAATAACTGCTATATATGTGTCATACCTTCTTTATTGAAATTTGATGACTTTGAAATTGCCAAGAAGATATTTGACGAGTGGGAATCAGTAAACGAATACTATCACATTCGGATTGTTAACTTCATGATTGGTGCTTACTGCAGAAAAAGGGCTTTTGCAGGAGGCGGAAAATTTTATAGATGGGGCAAAATTGAAGGGGGGAAACTTAATCACAAAACATGTCTCTACATGGCAATTGGGTATTTTCAGAATAATCAAACTGGAAAAGCAGTGGATGCGAGGGAAAAGCATTAGTGATTTGTAAAACTGTGTGGAAGCCTAGAAAGGAAATTTTTGCTGCCTGTTTAAAATACTTTATATGTGAAGGAGATATATTGGGAGCAGAGAAATCCATAAAATTACTTGGGAACAAGGATATCATCTCTGTGGAGCTTCAAGATAGATTGTTGAATTATGTCCAGAATGGGATATCTAGCTTGGATGAACTCGGTGAGTCAGATTGTGATTATTTGATTGAAAATGGAGAATTACATTCAGAGCCCGAGGATGATATCTGCAAATAAAAAAAAAAAAAAAAAGAAGAAACGTGTTGAATAAGCTGGACCTAGAAGGCAAAAGGAACATGAAGGTTTATTTTGTTGAACGCCTTCTGTCTTTTGGTTATTGTGATTGGCAGTCTAATAATTTGTTGCCCAGTTTGGGACAATGGAGGTAAAGTGACTTCTGGTTTTGTCATCTAGATGGCCAAGGAAGACCATGAGCTATGTGCATTGGCTTTTTGCAACATTTGGGCGCAGGGAAATTTCTCAGGACCACACTGCTCATTAGCAATATATAAAATGTAATACGACGTTCTAGCTCAGGTAGAGGCGGCGATTTAAGGTATGCAGAAGATGTTTCCATTCAAAATTCTTCCAGCATATTGGTTTGGTTGTTTAAATCCATTTCAGTTGGTTTGCTTTAAGTTTTTTGTTTTCAATTGCACTTTCTGTCAGTTTGAGTTTAGAATCGTTTTCAAAACTTGAAATTTTATTGTAGCAATTGTAACTCTTGATTAGGGCTCTGATAGTTGGTGTCACAGAAGAGCCTGTTGTTAAAAGAAGTTTAAAAATTGCTCTTTAATGTCCTACTTCTTTTGTTCAATAATGAAATTTTAAATATCATGCTATATGTTTCTGTTTGTTTCGTGGGAAAGAATGTTTCCCTGAGCTTGTTTTGTTTTAGATATGAACGGTACCTCCTACTTTTCTGAGTTACAATTTACAAATTGTTTTTGTATGACAATTTTTTTTTTTTACTATTGAATTTAGTAAATCCAAAGAAGCCCATATTGGGCCCACATTTCCTGTCATAAGCCCGACTTAAACTCTCCTACACCGATCTTTTGTTTCTCATTCTCTCCATTGTAACTTCTCAAGGGAGGAGTGGGGAGGTCAATGATAATTTTTAAATTATAAGGGTGTTTTTTGAGTTGTAGTTGGGGTCAGTGATAATTTTCAAAAGTTCTGGGGATTTTAAATTAAACAAACATTTAGGGTATGTAAAAAAGTTAACCCAAAATAAAATCGAACTCTCTTAAACCTTCTCCTTCACTTTCTCCTTCACTTTCACATAAACCCTTTCCACTTTCTCCTCGCCGTTTCTCTGCAAATGAAGCTTGTACGTTTCAGTGCAATCCTCCACAGCATCAAATCTCATTTGGGTCTCGGAAATGTAGTGGCTTTAAGCTCGTACTCAACAAAAATAGAAGAACGAAGCCGGAGACTTTCGAGATGGAAAGGCTCGATGAACGCTCTTTACCGTCGGATCTCCCCGATCGGAGATTCAAGGGTCTCAATAGTTCCATTGTTGGACCAGTGGATCGAAGAAGGACGTCCTGTCGACAAAGAACAACTCCAAAGCTTCATTAAAGAGTTGCGATCTTACCGACGATTCCGTCACGCTCTTGAGGTAACGGTTTCTTTTCTACGGCATTTTTTATATATTATTTTATAAATTTTAATGTTGCTTTATTTATTATTTATTTAAAGAAATAATAAAAAAAAAATCACTTTATAAATTTTTTCATTATGAATAGTTATTTATTTAAATTAGTTATTTGTATTAATATATTAAAAATGGTTTTTCTCTTTAATTTTTATAGGCAGCTATTTCGCTTACATTTATATATATATATATATATTTTTTTGTAAATAATATTCTATTTTTCTTATCTCTAAATATTGAAAGAAACTGCCGTATGATTACTTGGTATCGGTGATCTTGTAATTTTATCTTTCCATTGTTATAATCTCTCTCTCTCTCTCTCTCTCTCTCTCTCTCTCTCTCCCCGCAGATTTCTATGTGGATGACCGACAAAAGATACTTGCCACTTACATCTGTTGATGTTGCCATTCGTCTGGATTTGATCTCTAAAGTTCATGGCACAGAACAAGCGGAAAATTATTTCAACAATGTTCCGAAACAACTAAAGGGCCTTCCAGTTTATAGTGCTTTGCTTAACTGCTATGCCAGTGTAAAATCTGTGGAGAAAGCAGAGGCCACCATGCAGAAAATGAGGGATTTGGGTTTAGCTCGGACATCGATGGCATACAATGTTATGCTTAATCTTTATTATCAGACTGTAAATTCCAAGAAACTTGATAGTCTGTTGCATGAAATGCAAGAAAAAGGCATTGGATATGATAGATTTACAGTGGGTATACTCCTGAGTGCCTTTGGAGCTACATCTGATGTTGATGGAATTGATAAGATTCTGGCAGTGATGGAATCAGATCCCAATTTTGTTTTGCACTGGACGGTTTACAGTAATGCAGCAAATGGGTACGCGAAAGCTGGACTCTTGGACAAAGCTGTGGAGATGCTGAAGAAATCCGAGGAACTAATACCGGGTAAAGATAGCAATAGAGCATATGAGTTTCTTATCACACTATATGCAAAATTTGGGAAGAAAGATGATGTTTTAAGACTTTGGGAATTTTACAAGAACAACCATAAGATTTACAATAAAGGCTATATATCTGTCATACCTTCTATATTGAAATTTGATGATTTTGAAACTGCCAAGAAGATGTTTGAAGAGTGGGAATCAATAAATGAAAACTATGATATTCGGATTTTAAACTTGATGATTAGTGCTTATAGCAGAAAAGGGCTTTTGCTGGAGGCGGAAAATCTTATATATGGGGCAAAATTGAAAGGGGGGAAGCCTGATCAGAAAACTTGGCTCTATATGGCAATTGGGTATTTTCAGTATAATCAATCTCAAAAAGCAGTGGAAGCGATGGAAGAAGCATTAGTGATTTGTAAAACTGGCTGGAAGCCCAGGATGGAAATTTTTTCTGCCTGTCTAAAATACTTCATAGGTAAAGGAGATACAGAGAGAGCAGAGAAATTCATAAAATTACTTAGGAACAAGGATATCATCCCTGTGGAGCTCCAAGATAGGTTGTTGAATTATGTCCAGAATGGGAAATCAAACGTGGATGAACTCAGTGAGTTTTTTGGTGATTCTTTGAATGAAAATGGAGAATCACATTTAGAGCCCGAGTATGATGTTGGTGAATCAAAAAAAGAAGAGACATGCTGAATAAGCTGGACCTAAAAGGTAAATGGAGCTTTAAGGTTTATTTTGTGAAACGCCTTCTGTCTTCTGTTTATTGTGATTGGAAGTTTAATATTTTGTTTCCCAGTTTGGGACATTGGAGGTAAAGCTACTCCAGGTTTCGTCATCTAGATGGGCAAGGAAGATGACAAATTATGTACAATGGCTTTTTCTAACTTTTGGGCACAGGGAGTCGACCTCAGTCGAGTCCTGCACAAAAATATTGAAGTGAACATTGGCTGAAATTTCCAACAGGACCTCGACCTCTCTGGATCAGCAATGAATACAATGTAATACGCTATTTATGCTCAAGTAGAGGCAGAGATATAAGTTATGTAGAAGATGTTCCAATTTCAAATTCTTTCCTTCTGAACTTCATTGTTGAATATATGCCCATATGGTGAACCTCACTTTTACCTTAAAAATTTATTTTTGAAAATAACCTTCAATGGTTATAGATTACGACCAATGTTTATGATGATTTCTAGAATGATTCATCTCTAGTTTTTAAGAAATCAATATACATAATTTTGGAAATAAAAAAAAACTTTCATCAGATATGGGATGAGATAAGGGTTCCCCAATTTATCAACAATGAGAGGTACTATCTAAAATTTTAAATTATAGGACCATGTAATAACTAATATGGTTATGCATACCAACCTTATATGAATTACAGATTTTAACTTTGACAGAGCTGTATTGTTCTTTTCGAATTTAAATTACAATAAATATATGCATGATATTTGTAGTCAAGAGAAATATTTCCAGGGGCACCTACAAGAGTAGTTGATCTCAATATTTTAAAACCTGGCCCGGTTGGACCGACTTAACCGGGAACCGGTGCCTAGGCCGGGTTTTAAAGGGTTAAAAATCGTTATTGACAGTTCACCCAGTATGACCCACGGTTGGGCTGGTGTTACTGTAGCAAACCACCAGTCCGATCGGTTTTGGTGCAATACGGGGTCACTGCATGAAAAAATCCCCAATCCATTTTCAATTCTCATTCTCTCAGATTCAACTACTTCTTCTATACCTCCAATGCATCTTTAGTTCTTCAATCGTCATTGGTTTCTTCGATCAACGACCTGTGTGCCAAATCTGTTTGCCGCCAGCCGCCCTATAGTCCCTGTCCGTCGTTGAAGTTTATCGTTTCATTTCGTCTTCGCTTCATCAGTTCCTCTCACTTGTAAGTTTCACTGTGAAACACTTAAAACAATTTATCAAAGTTCATCGTTTCATTTCGTCTTCACTTCATCAGTTTATCTTTTGGTTGTGGCTTGTAAATTTCTGACTTGGAAACATAGTCGTTATCTTTGGGTTGCGGCTTGGAAATTTCTGGTTTGGGAACGTAGCCATTATCTTGGGCTGTGGCTTGTAAACTTCTGGCTTTGAACCTTAAGACATTATCCTCAGATTTTGACTTATCTAGGTATGATTTGAAGCCATCAACATTGTGTATAATCATGACCTACTGATTTCGATCTGTAAATTTCCTTTTCTTCTGACTTTGATTTCTCATAGTCTGATTGTGAGTCATAACCATGATATTTGACCCATTTTGAATTTGATTTGAAAATGTCTAATACAACTGAGTCTTTGGCTCGTCACCGTCACCGTTGTTGTCATAGCCATAATCACTTGCAGAGGCAAGGATCAGCAGTGAGAAGAGAAGTAAAGAGGTTGTGAAGAAGAAACGGGTGAGCCCCATCACCATGAAAAATAATATTGCAACAGGAAAGAAAAATTATTTGATTTTTGAATTACGATGAGAAGTATCACCATGGATGCTCTTTTATAGACATGAATATAGAAGACAAAATAAACGCGGTTGCACGATTTGATTGAAGAGAATTTGAAATCTCCATGAACGTGTATGCCTTGCTTGCCTGCCTGCCATGGAGATGGCTTCCATATTATCTCAATTGAACCACTTAAATGTTATATTTTATCTTTTTGTGATTCTATTCTTTTTTCATTTTATTTTTGAATATCGGCAACAATGTAATAAGAGGAAAATGTGTAAACTTTTTAGATCATGAGGTTTCTTATGTTTTCTAAATTCGTTGGCTCGTTTGCTTCACAATTGGGGTTTTTGAGAAAAGTTTTCTGAAAAAAGTAAAAAAAAAAGTTGAATTGGGCGGGTATTACGATGTAGGATTTTAAATTAATAAAATACCCCATATTTGTTTATTTACAAAACACCTCATATAATAAATCTTAAAAGTTAACAAAAACACCCCCAATCCAATGTCAAATACCGACAGCCGGACCACCGCCGGAGGGTGGCCGGATTCACCGTATTAGCGCATGACGGCTGGATCTGCCGGTCATGCGCGCTATAGCCTTTGCCGGCCGATCCATGGTGGATCTGGCCGACAAAGGCCAGATCTACGGCCAGATCTGGCCATATTTCTCGTCAACGACGACCAACAAACCGTCGTCGTTGATGGTCAAGACGACCGTTTGTTGGCCGTCGTTATAAACCGTTATGGCCAAAGATCTGGCCGTCAACGGCCAGATCTTTGGCCTTAGATCTGGCCTTTTCCGGCCAGATCCACACAGGATCTGACCGGAAAAGGCTAGATCGGCGCACTACCGGCCAGATTCAGCCGGGTAGTGCGCCATACCTAACAGATTCGGCCATTTTCCGGCAGTGGTGGCCGGAATCTGGTAAATATGAATTACTGGGGTGTTTTTGTAATTTTTAAAAAAATATTTAGGGGTATTTAATTAAATTATCAAATTTAAGGGGTTTAAAAAAAGTTAAATAATATTGGGAGTAGTATTCCCAAAAATCAAAGTTTTTGGGTATTTTACTGTTTAACTTTTTTGGGAATACTAAAAGTAGTATTCCCAAAACTGAAACAAACACAGCCCAAAGTTTTTGGGTATTTTACTGTTTAACTTTTTTGGGAATACTAAAAGTAGTATTCCCAATTGGCAACCAAACGGAGCCGTTATGTTTCTCATTCATATCCTAGGCCTTTTTATAAACATATCAGAGCAGAATTTTTTCTCTTATCAGAAGTCAATACAATGACTAATACTTGTTTTTAGATTAAAAAAACTATAAATTTAGTCGTTTTTTAAACTCTTATTGTTAAAAATGTATTCAAAATTGTTCTCCAAAACATTTCAACATATTATCTTTTTACAAGGTTTTTTATACCTTTCATTTTTGAAAAAGAAAATAAAAAGAAAAGGTTGTATTTAAATTTTGTATAAAAAATGCTCCAAACTAATACAAAGTTCAATTTCATTATCAGATTCTAATTATATCTAATTTTCGAATTTTATATATAATTCTGTGCTGACTGTTGATTGTCATCCATAATAATTTGGACCTGCACATATCAAGAAGCTTTAATTCTCATGAAGTGTTAAGTATAAAGGATACCTTTGAGAGATTGTATTACATAATGGGTCAATGAGATACTCATTATACTTATAATAATCTTTTATCTTATTGCAAATCATAGAATACAATCAAAAATAAGAAATTTCTGAAATTAAAAAATAAAAAACATAAAATATTTAGTAACTTGTTGAAGTCCATGTTCTGAAGTGAAGAAAGTCTTCAAAAAGAATGAAGAAATTTAGTAACCACTTGACTTCTCCTCTGCTTTTGGCTTGTAAGCTGGTTTGGGAGCGTAGGCATTGTCTTTGGGTTGTGGCTTGTAAGCTTTTGATTTGGGAGCATAGGTGTTGTCTTTAGGTTGTGGCTTGGGAGAGTAGATTTTGTCTTTGGGTTGTGGCTTGTAAGATTCTGGCTTGGGAGCATAGGTGTTGTCTTTAGGTTGTGGCTTGGGAGCGTATTCATTATCTTTGGGTTGTGGCTTATAAGCTTCTGGCTTAGGAGCGTATACATTGTCTTTAGGTTGTGGCTTGTAAGCTTCTGGCTTGGGTGCGTATGCGTTGTCTTTGGGTTGTGGCTTGTAAGATTCTAGCTTGGGAGCATATGCGTTGTCTTTGGGTTGTGGCTTATAAGCTTTTGGCTTGGGAGTGTATCCATTGTCTTTGGGTTGTGGCTTGTGTGCTTTTGGCTTGGGAGCATATGTGTTGTCTTTGGGTTGTGGCTTGTAAGCTTCTGGCTTGGGAGCATTTTCGTTGTCTTTAGGTTGTGGTTTGTAAGCTTCTGGCTTGGGAGCATATCCATTGTCTTTGGATTGTGGCTTGTAAGCTTTAGGCTTAGAAGCATATATGCTATCTTTGGGTTGTGGCTTGTAAGCTCCTGGCTTGGTAGCGTGTCCGTTGTCTTTGGGTTGTGGCTTGTAAGCTTTTGGCTTGGGAGCATATCCATTGTCTTTGGATTGTGACTTGTAAGCTTTAGGCGTAGGGGCATATTTGTTATCTTTGGGTTGCGACTTGTAAACTTCTGGCTTAGGAGCATATGCGTAGTCTTTGGGTTGTGACTTATAAGCTTCTTGCTTGGGAGCATATCCGTTGTCTTTGGGTTGTGGCTTGTAAGCTTCTGGCTTAGGAGTATATCTGTTGTCTTCAGATTTGGATTCGTAGTTATATTCTTGAGACTTTGGCTTGTCACCCTCAGTGTTGCCGCCATAGCCATAATCACTTGCAGAGGCAAGGATCAGCATTGAGAAGAGAATCAAATAGCTAGTGAAGAAGAAACTTGTGATCCCCATGACTCTGAAAATCTATTTTATGAAGAAAGATAAAGTATTTGATTTTTGAATTGATATGAGAAGTAACACCATGGTCTTTTATAGAGACATTAATGGCTGACTTTGTCTTATCAATTAATTATGAACTATAATATAAAAAAGGAAGACAATTACTTGGATGCACGTTTTGAAGAAGAAGCGCTAATATTATCTCCATTGCACTAAAATGAACGTGAATACCTTGCCTGCCGTCCATGGAAAAAGCTTATAATATCTCCAAATTTACACCCCCAGTACAACTGGTCGTCGTGGTGCCTATTAACCCACTTCCTGCGTTCTCATTATCTCTATGTTTTCATGATGAAAAAGTTTTCTAGTCTAATGTACAATTCTGATTGCCTGTTTGTTAATCTCATTAATTTTTCAGTATCTACTATTTTTTTTTTTTTTTTTTTTCTGTATGTAGAAAATTTGAGAAAAGTTTTCAAGAGAGAGAATTATATGGGCCTGTTTGGTAGATTATTTGAAAATTATTATTTTGAAAATTATTTTAAGTTGAGTTAAGTTAGATTAAATCGAATTGGATCATATTCTGAAAATGTGTTTGGTAAAATATTTGAAAATATATTCAGAGTATGATAAAATGTTGAATAGCTGTTTAGTACATTTTCTAAAAATATTTTAGATTCTATTTTTAACCTCTTATATTTGTTAATTTAGCTAAACACTCTCCACGATAAAAGCTTAAAAATTAACTAGAGCACCCAACCACCCAAGAGGACAATCGGTCATCGACCACCACTATCGGACGATAGCCGACAGTCGTCAGAACCGC